TGCAGAATAAATTTGGGGCCAATCACACGCCTCCCTGATGGTATGGCATGATGGATAAGTATCTGCTTGTATTTCTCAGCATTGAGCACACCATTAATCCTGACCAAATCTCCAACTTCATTTGCAAAAATGCAGCCCCAGACTTGCAAGGAACCTCCACCATGCTTCACTGATGCCGGTTTGAAGCCAAAGGGTGTGCACGGGGTGTGCCTGGGCACACCCTAATCACCCCCAGCCAGGACAGATGAATATTTACATATGAATGGCTGCGCTATTTACATATGAATACGCTGCGATTCATTCATATGTAAAGAGCATGATTGCATCATATGCAAGGTATGTCCGATTCCCCCCCATTGTAGAAGGTGGTACAGTCCAGGATTCTAGTGTCTCAGTGCGGGAAAGGTATTTCAGCTGGTCTGTGTGTGTGTGTGTGTGTGTGTCGGTCAGCCTCTGTGTATATTTATACATATTGCATAGCTACCTCATGCCTTTTTGCAGCCCCCCAACAGTTTAAAGAATAACTATGGGGCGAGTGAAGCACACTCATTCCCATAGTTAGAGTCGACATTGAAACTGTCTATTCTCATTTCTATTGGAAAGTAAGCGAAAACATACCGCCAATCTGCTCATTTCACGATCATCTCCATGCAGAGCTGTAAGGTCACCGCTTCCTGCAGGGATTCCCTCCTCCCCTCTCTGATCCTCCAGCGCTTACTGGAGGGAGAGACAGGGGAGGGGTCAGGCACACCTGACTCTGTCTCTAGATAGGCAGAGCCCGCTGTCAATCAGCCAGCTGGGTGGATCTCAACAGTATTGTCAGGATCCGTCCCGGCTGCGGCACTCTCAGCAATAGCGTAAAGTCCAATGTATCACACTATGCCACTCATACGTCAATTAAACAAACGCATTTGATTCATTATTGGAGTGACGGTGTCTCTTGATATTCTACACTATATGCTGAATTTTGGGTAACAGGAGGAAACAGTATATATACTTCAGTGACCCTGAGGAGAACTATGGGAGGAAAAAAAAAAATCATTGCCCCATAGTTTTCCTTTAATTCACTTTGAATGCTTTATATTTCCTTACACAGTTCTGCAGCTAAAATCTCTAAAAATGACCCGTTTTAGATATAAAATATTGTATGCTGAGATTTGTTTTATATTTACTTTGAAAGGCATTGCAGGAAAAAAGTTAAATCTACTGTTATCCAGACATTATTGCATCTATGCTAATTTAGAATTTGATAGAACTCCAGTGCACTGACCACACTGAGCTAGGGCTGCAGCTGATGATTTCCATAATCGATTAGTTGGCCGATTATTTTTTCAACTAATCGAATGGTTGCATTAAAAAGAAAAAAAAATATCTCGCTCTCTCTCCCTAGCCGCCCCCCCCCCGAACTAACCGATGAGAATAGTTGCCAACTATTCTCATAATCAATTAGTAGTTGCAGTCCTACACGAAGCACTGCTTCAGACGACCTCAGCCTGCAGCAACAGCTCCTGGTAGTTGGCAGCACTGAAAAATGCAGTGACTATTGACTTGTGACTATTTCATCAGTGAAGGTGAGACAGCAGCCAGGCTTTGCTCTTATCATGCTTTCCCCCTCTTTGTGTCTCCAGCAGATGATAAAGAAGTCTCCGTCCGTCCATCTGTAGTGGGGTTATGGCAGCCGCAATGGGCAGGTAAGAGGCAATTTTCTGGATGCTAAACAATGGCTAACACTGGTGGAACTACCAGGGTTGCATGAGACTGGGTCCTGGCAAGTATCAAACACTACGGGAGGGAGTGTTGGCCTGCCGGGACCTGTAGTCCCAGTAGGGAATGTTAGCGCCTCAGCTGTTACCGGGCCTACAAAGGAATAAGGGGGTCCGGGCCTAGTAACCGCTGAGGTGCTGACATTGCCTCCTGGGACTACAGCTGCCAGCACTCTGCAGCTCTCTCCTGCATACCACTGGTCGATACTCATAGCACTGTGTTCTACCCCCAGATCGTCCGCTCACTCCATATACCGAGAGTCTGAGGGGAGACAGGCCTCTGCTTGCCCTCTCCTTCTTTCCATAAATCTTCAATATACCTGCGAATGGAAGAACAGCTCCCATTGACCTTCCTTATTCACTTCAGCTGTAGGTCAGTGCTCTTGTCGCATCTCCTGCAAGGGAGTGTAGCTGTGGCTTCCCATCCAACCAGGAAGCTGTGCGGGTGTTCACATGACCACCCGCCAGGCTCCCCACTTCATTACTGCACCCCTGCTGGAATATTGCGTGTGTGTATACACCCTAATGCAATAGGCTGCACACGCCTATGCATATGGATTAGATTTAGATTTTTCTTCTGCTCACTCACTTGCATTTTGTAAATTGATAAAAAATAAAAATTATTATTTTTGAAAGCATTCCTACTTTACAGCATTTGTGCACACCTGCCTAAAACTTTTGCACATTACTGTATGTCTGGTATGTGTCCACATTCACATAGCATATCAAAAAATAATTTGCAAATAAAATATTTCTTATATTTAAGACAATATTTCCTAATATTTATATGATAAAACTTTCTAGTTGTTTCTTTGGAGCAGGCAGGCTTTTCAGAAAAAAGTAAAAGGTGATAATAAAGGGGGACAGACTCAGTTCCCGCTCATTAACATACCATGCAGCTCTGAGAAACAGAAGCTCTGAGATCTTTAAGGCCGACAGTGTTTAACCCCTTCATGACTGAGCTAGTTTTCAGGTTCTGTTCATAAATGACTGACACATTTTTGCTGTGTGATTCTTCCACAGCAGTAATATACTTTCTTACTAAATGTACCCACACATATTATATATTGTTTTTTAGAGGACAGATAGGGCTATATAATTATATCACATATGTGTACCTAACCCCTCACTTAGTTTGAATAAAATAAAAAAATTAGGAAAAAAACTAGAAGAAAACACTTTTTTCACAAGTTTTGATTATTATTTTTTTTTTTAGAATTTTTTTATATTAATTATAGTATAAAAAATATATTTATATATAATTTATATTTTCCTAATTTTGTTTTACACTTTATTTTAATTTTTTTACACTTTGTAAAAAAAATAAAAATAAAATAAAAAAACTTTTTTTTTTCTTGTCAGTTTATATCAAGCAATCACTATGACAGCTTGATAAATTAACTTTTTTATTTTATTTTTGGCTATTAGGCTGATCCAAACTTAGGAACAGCTAATAATAACCTTAGAGACTGATCCTGACTTTAGTCAGATTCAGATCTCACTAAAAGCTCTTTGATCGTGCCTAGACGATCAGAAATGATACATTTCACTCAAAAGATATACATTGTATCTTTTGAGTGAAATGTATCTAAACATCGGGCTCTCGAGCTGTCAAAACAAATAGCAGAGAGGTGAGGTGAGTCACTGCTGCCTCTCTGCTATTTTGAGCTGTCAAATACGGGATCGCAAATTGCGGTCCTCTATTTGCATGTAACGGCTTCATTCTTTCATTAATGAAAGGAAGAAGCTTTTACAAAAAGCTTAATTATTTCATTAATTAATGCCTCAATACTGAGACATTAATGAATGACTGTTAAATGCTGAGAATCAGCAAATACCGGCATTACAAAGCCTGATATAACTCGTCACGTACAGTGTACGTGGCCAGTCATATAGGCACAAAGTGACAAGACGTACACTGTACGTCTCCCATCACAAAGGGGTTAAACCTTGTTTGCAACTGATGAGATCTGCCAGCACGGTACAGACAGGGTTAATAATGGTAAACAGCAACTCCCTAGTGTCCTAGTGAAGGAGAACACTTCAAATTTTGGTGTTTTCAGAAGAAACTAAAAAAAGGTAAGCAACAATTTTTTAAAGTTATGCTATGTGAAGAAGAACATGTAACAAATATAAAGTAGGTGTCATCTCTAGATGGCTGCAAAAGTGATTTGTCAGTGCCTCTTGGGCTCCTCAGCATCGGGCTCCCATTTTAGAGATTAGCAAGGTTGCCACCTGGTCCTCTGTTCACACATTTGCTGGGTATCAAGTGATGTTCAGGCCTCATCTGATGCCAGCTTTGGGATAAGGTCTTTCAGGCAGCTCTTTGAACTGCAGCAGGTACCCAGTTCTGTTAGTTTTAGTGAGCCTGTTAAAATTCTGTCTGCTGTTGCCCTCCCCTTAGACTGCTAATGGATATCTCTACAGTATTTCACTTCCTGTGTCCCTCAATGTACTCCAAGAAAAGGATTTTACAGCGAGTACAAAAATCCTTTTTTTTTTAATTTGTTGCAGTTACATTACATTTACAGATCCCCCTCCCTACCCTGTGACTGGACAGTAAAAGGAGGAACAGAAAACTATTCCTCCTGTAGATGAACCATAAGCAGCACTGTAATCATTCACATCAGGGACGTGTGGTCAGGGGAGGCAGAGCCTCTCCTAGTATTATGTATTTTCCCCATTCAGATCAGCTTTTAACAGGTTACACAGCAGGGAAAGCCTCCCAGCTGTGTATGTCATGGACGGGGTGCTGCCTGTTAATTACAGGCGGTGCTGCGTCCGGCTTTTGACAGTTAAGAGTAGAGGCAACAGCCTCTACTCTATGTTAGAGGCAACAGCCTCTACTCTATGTTAGAGGCTTGAGCTATGTGGATGGTTTGGACCAATGGAAAAGCACCATTGGTCCAAGCTGTCCAATCAAAAAAACTCACTGAAGACATCGATCTCGATGCCTCACCAGTGACAAGCGAGGGGCAGGGAGGCTACTCCCCGTCTCCACCCTTCCCCACAAACAGCTTGGTGACCAGTTTGGGGCGGTGCTTCGGCGTGCTGGGGCGGGCAGGGGGGTGCCTCAGTCAGCATGGAAGGTACTGCATGTTACTGATTCACATCAATGTTTTTTTGCAGTGCGGTTTGAAGCAAGTAGCAGTATGACAGATGCAATCATTTGGGATCCGAAGTCCAGAACAAAGAACTGCTACACCTTTGTACAACCAGAAACCAAACAATGAAAAATCCTCTTTTTACTTCGTTTTATTTTGCACATTTTACTTTTTTTCATTTCACAGAAAGTTTAGCTGCATATTTTCTCAGTTTGCATCCACGCAAATTTATACTCCGCCAACCAGTGATTTTATCTGACGGCTCTTCGTTTTTTTTTTTTACATTTTTTTTTTAATTGCAGTTTTTTTTCGTATTTTTTATTATTTTTTTTTTATTTTAAAATGAGTCCATCAAGGAAAGCTCTAAACCCTTCGACGCCACCTCCCAATTCCCGATCCTTCCCATAACAAAATGCATATTTGATGCTTGGGCATTGCCGTTAGAACCCCTTCACCCCCGAGGTCTTAGACAATGTGGCACTGTGGGGGGGATTGGGATGTCGGGACACATCGGGTACCACCTGTTCACCGAGTGCCTTATTGCTGTGTAAGACCTATAGAAAAACCTTTTAACACAGCTCTTTAGGGAGCATTTGCCCCAGCTCAGAAGTGAAGGGGTTGCGTTTCGACGCTCTTTTCTTCCCAGTTTTGTTACATTATCTTCAGCACGCTACACACAGGGACGCTGTCCTCAAACTCGCCTGCCAGCCGTTTCGTTCACTCTGCGTCCCCCTTTTGGCATCACACACTTGGGGGTTTTAGAAGCCAATCCACAATGGTTCTCGGTTCTGGAGGTGCTGTCTGAGTGGGCTGGTAACCTGTCTTCACTGTAGAGGAAAAGATGTGTGTAAAACAACATGTTCATAAGTAATGCAAAAACAAACGTCCCCATACCTACCACTATGCTGTAATTAACAGCCGTTCATAATCCTTATGAAAAAGTGACAAGGATTTATCCTATTTAAAGTATTCCTTTACTTGTCACCGCTTAAGAATAGAAACTGCCACTCAGGATGCAGCCAAAACCTCAAACAGTGCCATGTCCAGTGGTTCTATACAGGATTGGTTCTCGACTAGTATTCCATATAAACGGGGGTACTTTTACTGGTTTCCTTAAAATGGATCAACATTTGTTAAGATTGAGACACACTAAATGTTAGTATAATCTATAGCCCCCATCAGCAGGTCTTATTTATTGCCAAAGTCCACCATGGAGCAATTCAGAGGATTTGGTTTGTTAAATAATGGCTATAGTACGTGTTTACTATAATCGTGAATACTGATTACCATGCCTGGGGCTTCTCTGTGTTATTGTGTGACTGATATGGACTGGATTTTAAGCATTAGGTAAGCGTGCTCTAAGCACTGATCTCACCCATAACCATATACAGGTAGATAAGGAGAGGAAAGGAGTCAGCATAGTCCTTATTTGGTCCAGGCTTTGTTAGTGGTATGATTATTCACCTGAAAATATTTCCACTGCCAGCTTTTGAATATCTAAAGGCTAATTCCACTTCAGCCAAGGTTTTGTACTGCATGGTGAAGAGTAAGACCCTCCAACAGGGTTTATACTACTAGGCATGTCCCTGCCCTTACTGCCTCTGTGACAAAGTGAGAGTTTCTCACCATTTACCACAAAAAAATTATTTAAAAAAAATGTACACACACACACACACACACACACACACACACATATATATGAGAGATTGTAAGCCCTCACAGGCAGGGCCCTCCTTACCATTGTGTCTTGAATTGTATTGTAATTATATACTGTATTGCAATTATGTCTTCCCTATGTTGTAAAGCGCTGCCTGCGCAAACTGTTGGCGCTATGTAAATCCTGTATAATAATTATACGCACGCACACACTTTCATGACCCTTTCCACAAGTCAGTGTCAATACACTGCTCCACTACAACAAAGGGCTGTTATGGTGGCGTTATCCTCCACCAGGAAATGTTGTCTATTGTTTCATAAATGTGCTCTCCTTTAAGTTCCAGATTCTGGGCTGAAAATCTCGGCTTATACTCGAGTATATACGGTATCTGTTTTGCCTTTTGAGACACTCTCCCACACCTCTCAGGCAGAACCTAGTACACAGTACTACTCACCATAGAAGACAGGCAAGGTGGTTTAGGAGCGCAGCTATCGGAATAACCTCGTGAAATCTCTGAGAGCCCAACACACCTGCTTACATTCCTCAGCACTGTAATATACACAAAAAGCAATGAAAATACAATTGTTTCACAAGTTTTCTTTTTTTAGTTTTACATACAAACAGTGTTAATGTAAATCAGCCACACTGACATCATTGTGTGCTGTAGCAGGCTTTCCATACTGCCTGTATCTTAAACCCCTTTCAGATGGGCAGGTCCGTCCGTTTTTGAGGCGGATCTGATCAGAAGCCCAATGTTAGTCTATGGACAAACGAATCTAAACGGATGTCTGTTTACATAGATTACCCCCACCAAATGTCCGTTTACTTACAATTCCCCATAGTTCTAACATAGATCCAATAAGTTCAGGTTTTTAAAAACTGGACGGACACGGATGCCACAATGGTGATATCCGTTCCAAACTGCTCTGATAGGCAGTGCATCTGTGCACGAATCCCCTGCTGATCAGAACTGACAGGAGCCTGTGTGAAAGGTGCCCAACAGAGATCAGTTTGCCTTACCTTGTGACTTGTTTATGGAAATCTGTTAACTGCTTATGTGTTACTGTAATTGCTCCTCCCGACGTCTCCTTTGGTAAACCCTTCAATGACGTTTCCAACCATCTACAAAATGTCTGAAAAGAGATGGAGAAATTAAATGTTATAAATTTACATTCATGCTGAAACTATACTACTACTACTCTAAAAAAAAAAAAAAAAAAGGTCATATCAGAACAGTTCAAACACCTGCAATGGTTCTTAAAGTGGAACTAAATTCTGATGTATTCTAATCGGTCCAAATCTGAAGGCTGTTCTAGACCACATAGCAGACAAAAAAAAAGCATTTCTGGTAAAAAAAAAAGTCAAAAGGTTCCTCAAAAAGTTTTTTTTTAGGGCCAAAAGGAATCAAAGCCAGATCGCTTAGGATTCGAATCAGAAAAAAATCTTTGCAATGTCAGATCTAAGGCCAAAGGTGGACTTAACCCTCCTGGACAGTCCTTGAAAACCCAATGACTCACATGGACCAGTTGGGAGGGGGGGGAGGGGTTGGTTGGTGGTGGAGATTGGGGCTCTTCCTGCCACAGTGGTCCTCCCTTAGACTTACTGGTAACTCTGTTTCTAAGAGTCTTTCCAGGACAGCAAAGTTCCCTCCTATTGGTGCTGTTTGTATGGTTTATTGGTCTTTCAGCTACGTTCCATTTCTGGGGAAAATACTGATTAACTATCTGGCAGACCACCTTTTAAAGTCTGCTGAGTTTGTGTTTCCTGCCTCTGGGGGTAGAGTCATGCCATCTCATGTGCTGTCCTGAAAAGACACTTGGAAACAAAATGACTGGTAGGTCAAACTCTAAATTTTTTGTTTTGCCAGAGTCCTCCTGAAGGCTTCAATATAACCAAAATGTCCAAGAATCACTATATTCCTGTGTCCATCAATAGACAAGAAAAAAAACATGGTTACACTTGAATGTGGCACAAGTTGTCATAGGTTAAGGACATCTATATCAGATTAAAAACTTTCTATAATTACATATATAAATTATGCTTTTCTTACCGGCCTGTCAAAAATCATCATTTCCCATATAACTTCAGCCACATCAGGCAGTGTATAGGGGGGGAGACAGAAACAACAAGAATGGAGAAGCTGGCTGACCAGCGGTTGTCCAAACTGGTTCATTACTTGTTCAATCAGATCCTTCCGTACTTCAAAGTTCTCCTCATGCTGAGACAATAAAATATAAGATCAGCTACAAGTATACAGTTCATAATGCAAATGTGTACCTTAAAATAAAACCCAAGCTTTAAAAAAATAAATGTCCATGTCATTGTGAGTATCGGTCTTCCTGGTTTGATATTATTTTCATTAAACCATATTACACAAGAAGGTGGTGCCTCTGGTTTGTTTTGTATAAAATAAGCAAGCGAGTGTTTGTGTGTGCGCGCACGAGCGCAAGCTGGAGTTGTGTTTTAAGACATTTACAACATATTAACACAATAAAACATGCAATAGTTGTTTAGATACGTGAAGAAGACGACTTACATCATTTGCTACCCCAGTGTGTATCAGATCACGCAGAAACTTCATGACGCTACAGTTGGCATCCCGGTGATCTAATGTAGCGGCAGCAGTAGCCCATTGCAATACATGAATTAGCACCTGACTTCTCAGAAGGATAATAGGACATCGCTGTATGAACCTGAGAGAGAACAGGAAATCAGCAACCTTGCACATACTTATAGAAACACAACATATAACTGGCTACAACTATTAATAGGAAATTATAAATTGCAGATTGTTGATCTAGGAGTATTGCATGCTCTCTGGGGATCATGAAGGTATTTATTTCCTGTTGAAACAATTCGGACTGTGCTTTGTAATGTTTTCTTTTTTTGGCTTCCTCAATCAACTGTGGGTTTAGGGTTCTAAAAATGCAGGCATTGTCTTTTGCTTGAACTAGATAGGCAAATGTCTTTTTTTCAGTCTATGAATCCCTGCAGAAGGGAATATGTAGGCTGTCATTGCTGGGACCTCTCTTAAGGTGCCCACACACCTTGCGATAATCGCGGGTAATCCCGCAATCATACGATTATTGTAAGGTGTGTGGAAGCCGTGCGACCTCTACTACTGTAAGGTCGCTCGACTTTTATCTTAGGAACATGTTCGAAAGCCCGCCGAGAATCGTACGATTTTCGGCGGGTGTGTAGCATGTTCGTAAGATAAAAGCCATCGGCTTGCGATCATCGCAAGTAAGATCTGCCTGTCCAAGATAGCCAGATCGTACGTTATTTTTAATTAACTTACAACCATCGCAAAGACTTTTGTCTAGCGATGGTTGTAAGGTGTGTGCCCAGCCTTAATATAAATGCTAGTTGCCTGGATGTCATACAGATCCAGTGGTTTCAACAGTCTGGGTCAATGACCTGTAATAAAATATGCAGATGAGAAGTTTTGACTTGTTTTGGGTCATCCACTTAGTATTTAGGTCAGACGCAATCAGGAAACATTTTCAAAAGGAGGTCAGCAAAGGCAGCCAATGTATTTTTCGAAATCCAGTTTTATTTTTACTTTATTTATTGCCAATAGGTTAACGTGCACTAGCTATGAGGATTAGGATATAAGGGGACCCTGTTAACTACATGTTTGAGAACAAACAGAACAGCACTCATAAGTTATAACATACAAAGATAGTGGTTTTAGTTCTAGTAAATGCAAAACAGCAAGGTAACGAAAGTAGGCAGCCATGCCCAATTAGGAATAGGGGAGAGGTGACAGCAGTGCAAATGTGAAAAACCTCTTTTTTTAATCAATTACTTTTTATTAGACTTTATACAACAGAAATCAAAAAGAGGAAAAAAAAAAAAACACCCAAAAAATCCAAATACAATAATAAATGAACAAATATATAAACCGCAGACAATTCAGATTACTAGTGTTTGTCCCACACAGAGGATTGGTACATACTACTGACATGTACCGATCCTCAGAACGGACGAGCAGTGAGGGGGGGAGAGAGAGGCGCCGGCTATCAGATCCTGGCCGAGCGTCTCTCTCTCTCCTCACTGCTCTGCATTATAGTGACAGCGGCTCTGTCCTCCGCCCTCCCCCGCCGCCGGTTCCTTCACGTCTTCTCGGATCCCTGCTGGGGAGAGCAGCGGGGATCCAGAGAAGCGGCGGGAGGAGAGGACATGGCGATCTATGGTAGATCGCAATCGACTGGTAGATCGCGATCGACCTTGTGGGCACCCCTGCCATACAGCATATACCATAACACATTAGGACAGGTGATTTGTTGACCAGACTCCACTTTACCTGGTAAAGAGCCTGAAAAGGTCATCAACGGTGTCCGGGTGATTACGGAGTCCATTTTGCTGCTCCAGGAGTTGAAAGGTAGGAACACAAAGAGCCTGTACATGCAAAGCACAAGAGTCAATGTAAGCACTAAGCCTTTATAGAAGATTACATATTACAAAAAATAGGAAATAGTAAGACTGCTGAAGCATTATGGGTACTGAACAAATACATGTTTGTAATGTCGCATCCCCCCAAACATCAATGTTGAGGTAGACATTCGGGTCATTACACAAACCGAAAGGGCTGTGCAGATAGGGACAGTGGTAATAATGGGTGATTTTAACTAGCCAAAATTTGACTAGTTTACCTTACTGCAAGACTATTTCATGGGGCAAGTAAATGTCTAGCCTCAGCTATGTGTACATTTAACCTTAAGAGCCAATTTTTTCTTTGCACATTCAGGGTAATGTGACAGTGCATCCTAGGAGCCCCTTCCCAGCAAGGCATATTCAGCCATCCATGCTCAATTGCCACCTTTCCCCTCCATCTGAGCCCTTTGCTTCAAAGGAGCAGGGCTTCTGGGTATGGGGAAACATGTAACCAACCCCATATTACAGTGCTAGGGCCTTAACAACCTATCAACAGGCCCCAAAACTGTCATGTTGGGAGACAGTGAGGTAATTTACCCAGGTAAGCACCAACACCATTCGATACTAGAGCTTACCCATGGTTACCAATATAGTAAGCACCTTAGCAAAAAAATAGGAAGTACTTGGAAGGAGCAAATTTAACCGGGTGCTTAAAACCTCTGTAAAGAAAAATTTAAAAAAAGCAGCTGCAAAAGGGAAAGTCTTTAAGGCCTTGGAAATTTTAAACGGCCCAAGATTGGAAAAAATATTGGTAAAAGCAACAGTTTTGGAGTTCTGCATCAAGAGCTGAAATGGTCTCCTTTATTTAGAAGTATTAGCAATAGAACTGCAAATAACTGAATCATTTCAGTCATAAAGTCTTGCATGACCATGGTAAAAAACTTCAGCCCAAAGAGCAGAGGACAGAGCCAAAGAGGACAGGTGAGAGTAGACTGCAGACATTGGCACCATTACTAAGCCTGCAGCAAGGGGCTGCTGAATAATTAGTAGAAAGTTGGCTGAGCACACCTGGTACAATGGTATTGCACCAACTCCCCTTTCCAAGGTAAGAGGCAAGTCCTCAAGTATCCAGGAAACCCAGACAGCTGGTAGCAGGTGAGTGTCAGATGGCCAGAGGTTACCAAAGTCACTAAGTGGACAGCAGGAACGGATCAAGCAGGAGCAGAAGTGGGGAGATGCTTACTCAATAAATGAATGGCAGCAAAGAGCTGGGGGACACAACCAACACCACCCAGCAGATGAAGATAGAACTCAGTTCCAAAGCACTAACCCCTTCCATGGTAAAAACCTGCAGGAACAGGAAATAATGTTGCCCAACAACCGAAGAAAATGAGGTAGCTCCCAGTGCTCAGCCTGTCTGGCCTACTCACTCAGCGAGTCCTCAAAGAAAGGGCAAGCACTGAGTTAATGCCAGAGACTCAGGACCTGGAAAGTATTCCACAGAACTGAGTCTAAAAAGCCCCCTATGCAGAAACCAGTGCCCTAAGGTCACTTCGAAAATATCCAATTCAGCGGGGTCTGGATGCAGTCCAAAAGGCTGAGGACCATCACACCAACTGCCGATCAAAGGGGAAATTTCCAGTGGCAGTGTAGAGAAAAAACTCTTGAAGGGGGGGAAATTCAAAAGAAAAAAGTGCTAACAGAAAAGCCGTCCCCTCCCTTTGACGCTAGCAAAAAAACCCACAGGCTTGCTGTTAGTAGAAGGAAGAGTTATCCTCGGCTAACCCACAGCTTTTTTGTTTGCCAACGTGCAATCCTTCTATAGGTAGTTGGGAAGTGTTCCTCAATGGACGACGAAAATGAAATATACTGTACGATAAAAACGCCAGCATAAGTAAACTGAAGGTTCTGAAAGAGACCCACCTGCAGCATTTCAAGCAATCCTTGTTGGCAACCTTCCTCCATCCCATACTCGTCCACCAGGATGCTACCCAGATACAGGAAACATGAATGTTGATGAATCTGGTAGACGTTAACCATCTGAAAAAAAATATCCACAAACATAGATGCTGCAGTGCCGTCCGTCCGTTTTTTTACTACGGGCGGACGGCAAGAGGTTAAACTCGATGAAATGTGTTCCCCAGATATACATGACTTACAAGTCGCATACATTTTAATTTGACAATATATATTTACCTCTCAATGTAAAAGAAGAATTTGGTCGCACTCTGTATACCACTTTCAGTATTTTACTAAAGAACACACAGCCTCGCCAAGTCCCACTTAAGGTCCACCCCACTCTACGTGTTTCACCCTACCGGGGCTTAGTTGTAAGCCCTGATTGGGTGAAACACAGTTGACACTGAGCGGTGGTGACTGCTGAAGTGTGGACATGCTCTAACTGGTGGGAACTCCTTTATGTTTCCCCCTGCTGAGCCATGGCGGAGCAGTGTGTTCCGACTGATTGTGTTGAGGATATACAGTATATTTGTTATACAAGATTAAACTATGGTAAAAATGCAATTTAAATGCAAAACACCAAAATGTCTAAGCACAATAGAACTCAGGGCACTACAGTAGTAGTAGTAGGTTGCCAAGTTATTTGGCTTAACCCTTTCGCTGCCAAGCCCTCCTGAACGCTTTTAACCTCAGCTGGCCACACCTTTTTTACATTTTATTTTTAACTGCAGCTTTTAGGGTTTGTAAAAGACCCCCCCAAACCATATATTTTCCGAAAGCACAGGCCCGGTAAAATAAACAGATGGTGCTACTAATTTGGTAGGTCATGCGATAATTGCTCAATTGTTTGTCAAATCAATATTAAACCGATAAAAATACACAATTAAATTGATAAAAGCACACTAAAATCAGTAGCGGTGCACAAAAAAATTGTTTTACGACTAATTCTAAAAGATAAAACTATTGAGAGTTAATAAATATTTTAAAATTGCACCTATTTGGGGGAACGGTAAAAAAAAAAATTAAGGAACGCAAAACTGTAAGTAAGCGACTTTTGTTAAAAATCGTTTGTGCATCGTGTTGGTGTGTGTTGTGATAAAATGATACAGGCGTATATTTAATCGCAATAGGGATGCACCGCTACTGTTTTTTCAGTATCTAGTACCAATATTTATATTTCGGTACTCGCGGATACCGAGCGCCGATACAGGTACTTCCGGTAGCATGGAGCCGAATTCCTGGGCAATCAGGAAGCTGGGCAGCGTGCCATTACCTGCTGCACGGATTCTTGATTGCCCTGGAAGCTGGCTCCATGGTGTTTGGCCGGGAAGCCATCAGTCAGTCACCGCTCCCCGCAGGGATTTTCCCCTCAGTTTCTCCAGCACTGACTGGAAAGAAAGACAGGGGAAGGGGCAGAGTCAGCTGTCAATCAGGCAGCAGGCTGGATCCGGACAATATTGCTGGAATCTTTCCCGGCTGCAACGCGGCTCCGCGCTGTCAGCATATAGAAGGCAATACATTAGTAAATGTCCTCCTGTGACCCTTACTGTTTCTTTTATAAGATCATGTCAAATACCTGAGTAACAAGAGGCTGCAGGAGTGCAGCAGACCCTTTTCCAACACAGCGCACAGCAAAGCGCAGACATCGGCAACATCGCTCCACAATTCTGTTGTCAGCACGATGCTTGTTCAAGGTCTCGGACATCACAGGCCATATCTGAGATTGAAACGACTATTATCACCAACAAATGGACAGGACAGCCATCAGAATTTTACAGGATAACTAGTGATCACAGATGATACACATTACACAGCCTTACACAAAGTGGGCAAGCCCACCTTTAGTTACTTACTTCTTGGATGACTTTTTGGCATGGGTGAGTCTGTCCATTTTCTACTGAGGGAACGGTGTGCCTTAAAATAAAACACAAATCTATCAAGAGGAATGCTTTGCCTGCTCTACTTCAATACAAATACAGAACCCAAAAGCACACAGACTTGTACACGGCATTCACCAAATGGCAATAACAAGTTTAAATCGTAGTTGGTTATATCCCATTATCTAAGTGTCTTTAAAAAGAAAAGAACTCTATTGCATAACAACCAATCACAAAGAAACGTTTTTTTTATGTGCAGACTGAATTCTGATTTGCTGATGTTGAGCAATGCAAACAGTTCCTATCAAAAACCGTTATGAGCAACTATCATTAAAACAGCAGCACGTAATGAATTCTTTAAAAAAAGAACTGCTGGTGGTATGACACCTACCTGAAGATGACTGCCAGTCGGTCCAGAAATAGCGTGGGGTCAGAGGACAAGCCATTATTAGGGTCTTGGGAGAGGAGCTGAACAGAGAAGTAGGGAATATGTTTCTTGACACGTTACAAATAATTACATACAACCACTGGGAACTGCAGTTCACCTTGACATTAGCTACTCTGGAATAACGGGTAACAAATACATATGTACTTCAAAAAGGAAACCAAAGTTTGCAATGCAAGTGCTCACTGATCATTTTCTGATCTTACTGCCCAACCACTGTTGAAGGAAACACTGTCCTGACAGCTTAGCTTTCACAAAACTAGAGCTAGCCATACATGGCTGTAATTTCGTCCGATTGTTGCTAAAGCAGTCAAAATTTGGCTCAACAACCTTTGATTATAAAATTGAAGGAGCCGGGTTTGAAAATTGTTGGCCGAACAGTATCTGCATCTAATGAAATGCAATTGCTGTTCTGTTATACAGAGTGTAACGTTAGCCAGAGGTTTTGGCAGTCTTAAAGGGCAAAAGCAGACAGAGTGATATATATTCCCCCCACTGCTTAGAGCTGATGTAGAACACTGTGGCTTTACCACACCGGCTCTAAGACCATGAGCTGAACGATCACGCAAGCTCCGATTGCTCAGCTCTTGGTGACTTATCACTGCAGAGAGCACTGACTGTCAGTCACTGCTTCCCACAGGAATTCCTCCCTCCGCTCTCTAAGGCAGGCAATATTGTCAGGAGGCTTCCCTGCTGTGGCACGGTTCTGCACCATCAGGAAAAAGCAGGCAATAACCCACTATCTGCTGACCATGGGTAAAGTAAACCCCCCCCCCAAAAAGGTGTCTCTAAGTGAAGGTGGAGAGCCTCTATCTACACTGTTTAGCATGACATGCTCCCACTGTTAAGTGACTCCGTGGCCTGAACATGAGAAATCTCTGCCACGTACGGCTATCTTAGGATTAAGGCTTTGGTATAAGCATAGGTGGGACAAATTAAACTGGCTAAAAAATGATCCTATATAAAAGTAAGGCTAGCAGTTTTTTTTCCTATTGATCTCTATATCAGTTGTAATAGCTGCATGGACTTTTATATGTAGCCCTCCCATGCAGGGCATTTGAATTTTCCCTGTTCTGCACAAAGATAATAGCACCAGTGTATACAAGCACATCAATTACATTTCATAGTTCATGTACGTCCTGATTTTTTTTATTGCTATTTTTTTTAATTTGTGAATAACTGCAATGCTTTGTACCATAATCCTGATTTCAGTGTCATTTTAGAATTAAACTTATGCTTTTTATCTATAGTAACATTTTTTTTTAAACTGAACACTGATCAAAGTAAATGATCAGTGAGCAAAAAAAAGAGATATCACAAAAAAAGCCTCGTTTGTCTTAAAGAAAACATTATACATACTACTTTATCTAAAATAATAACAGTTACTGTCAAATAAACAAGCTCATAGAAATGTCCACTTTAAATATATATCAGTAAAGAAAGAAGACCATTTAGGAGGAGCCAAATATAATCACTTTTACATGCAACAAAATGCTCTCACCTTCTTAAGGGCTTCGACCTGGACAGAGCACAACTCGCTCAAGCATTCGGTGATCTTGTCCAGAGGTAAACGTGCAAGGACCAGTGCAGTGCCTGATGTGGGGGAAGTGGGTCAGTGAAATGCATTAACACAAAGGGTTGCATAAATCCCAAGATACATGGAAATTAACCTTAAACATTACAGAAGCCATGCAAATTTTAGGAACAATTTCTAGAATGTATCTTTCTGGCTCACAAACATTACTAAAAGGCTCATATTTTGGATATCCTGAATTTTACTTGCATACCTGTGTGCATTACCTGTATTTGCAGTCTTTCTACATATTTGGATCTCAATTCTCTAACTGTATTATTCACTGTAGAACCAAGCAGACATTTCCCTTATCCCAGATACTTTTTGCACTGGTGTTTATCACCAGCGTACAAGACTGATTTAAAGGCACAGAACTAGCTGTTGTAAAGTCTCCCCCCCAAAAAAACAAAACCTTGTGAAATCACTTTCAGAATATAGAATAGCTTCAAAGACTTTGCAGGTGTTTCAGGCCTGCAAGTACAAGACAAGTACCTTTCAATGGAAGCACACTCGCACATCTGATTATAGGGATTTACCAACTCTGTGGCCTGCGTATGCAACCAACTACTCAACTTTGAACTGGGCCTTGTGAAAACTCTCCGAGAACTGTAACGGCTATCACATGTCATAACTGGGCCACATCATGGCAATAATGGTACATTGCTGTACCTCTCCCACTTTCTGCTAATACAAGCCCACTCATACTTTAAAAGGTAACGCCACTTTAAAAATATAAAAATGAGAAAACCATTATAATTTAATGTTACAAAAAATTACCTTTCCATTAAAAACTGTAGCTGCTGTAATGTTCTAAATCGGTCACAAAAAAAAATGCAATATGGCGACCTGAAGGAGTTCCGTACAAGTTGGTGTATGGATCCCCCCCCAGAAATGTCACTTCCTGCTTCTGTGATTGGCTGACCGATTTTCCTAAAATTCTGCACTAAGACGGAGTATCTCATCAAAAATGAAATCCTGTTGCAAGGGTGCTTTATTCTTCTAAGGGTTAATTACTACTAAAGGGATGCAGACACGGCACCTTTCCCTAGCACAATGCCCACCAACTGATTATATCGAATTCAGACCCTCCCATTCAGGGATCAGTTTGGAAAGGACATGCTGCAACAAATGGCTATTTCTTCAGAACAGAAGCGGGTAGGAAACCAACACATTTTGTAAAAATCCTTGCAATGTACACAGATCACGCAGAGGGGATTGATTTTTTTTTTCTCTCTCAACAAAAGTGGAGTTACTCTTTAAAGGCTCTTCAGAAGCTGATTTTAAATTATATCTGGGCAAGTTTAAGCCTAGAATCACAAATTATACCACTCTGCCATCTAAATAAAGTGGTCATATTATGGGAGAGGTAAAAATCTTCCGTAGGATAGGCATAGCAATGAAGTGCTCCCCACTGGCAACTGAAAGTATTCAATGGCATTAGCCCAGGGATAAAACAATGATAAGAAACCCTATTAAGAAACAGTATGGGTCAACACCAGATACTTTCCCCTCACATCCAGCTAACCTGTTATTTCTTAATGTTTCAGTACAGCAGTAGTAAAGTTAACATAAGATCTGACAAAGAAGCTTAAATGTCCTCCTTTGCCATATACCAGGAAAGCTCAAGCAGGGAGTTTACTACATACTAGGGATGCACCGATACCGGTATTCCATTATCAAGTACGAGAACCGATATTTTTTTTTCGGTACTCGCCGATACCGAAAGAACCATTAAGGAAGCCAGGTGGCGTGTAATGACTCACCCCATGACTTCTTGATTAGCCGGGAGGCGTGCAAAGACTCGCCATTCGGCTTCCCAATTAGCAGGAAAGCCAACCCCATGCTTCTTGCCACTATGTGACGAGTAAGCATAGAGCTGGCTTTCTGCCCAATCAGGAAGCCGAGTAATGACGCGGCGCCCGGCTTCCTGATTGGCCGGAAAGCCGGCTCCATGCTCCTCAGTCATGAGGTGACGAGGGAGCGTGAAGCCAACTTCCCGGCCAATCAGAAAGCCAAATACTTGTATCGGCACCGATACTAGTATCGGTGCATCCCTACTACATACAAAGCTATCTTTGTTGCATACATTGTCAAATATTGTTAAAGATTTGTGTAATAAACACTCTGCAGATTCCATGGTATTTTTAACTTCAGTAACATAAAGGCTCAAACCTTTTAGAAGTCCAACAGAAGCCTCTGGTGGCAATGAGAAGGAGTCCAAAGACCGAGCGATCTCCAAAAGACCATTGAAGTGCTGCGCCATGTGGTCCCGGCAGACGCAGCAAATGTTCTGAATGGCTTTGGCAGAAGGTGTAGACAAGGTTGGCTGGCACAAGCCCTTCATTAGGTAGGACAACACAGGATCTAATGATATCAGTGATAAAGACAGGATACAATTTAAGAAGGACAAAAAAAGTCTCTATACATATGCCTGAAGGAGGATCTTTGTTGCATATTGCAAATGTTAAAAAGAAAAGGAATGAAGAAGAGGATTGGCTGCCAAGAGTAACCACCTACTCTATTGCGCCACACACTTTCACACAGGTTTCGCAGTACATTCTTCTTACAGTAAACCCCCGTTATCCAGCACCCACGGGGATTGGTAGGTGCCGAGTAACTGTAGTTTCTGGTTGCTTGAGAGTTAACTAGTAACTGAAGCAACCACCCCGTAGCGCCCCACTAACCCCCAACTGCCCCCCTCCGTGTAAACAAAGAATTTCCCTAGCAACTAAATACATTTAGATGCTATTTACATTTTTTAGTGTGCATCAAGCCACCGGCATAAAACAAAATTGGAGGACGTGTCCTCGATTTTTTTTCCCACCGGTTGCTTGAATGTCAGATAAGGCGAATATACTGTACTATAATTTTTTCATTTTGGAATAGCAAAAGACTGAGAAGATATTAACTACAGGTGAAGATTAGTTGAACTAGATACCAACAAAATAATACCTCTAGCTTCACTCACTGTGTGAATATAATTCTGCAGTTGAAGAACTAAGTGTAAAGTACAGGAAATAACCAACAGGTCACAATATACAGGCTCCAATTGTCAGTATTTTGGCTGCCAAAAGTTGCCTGCATGGCTTAAAAAAAATCAGAACTAAAAAGTGGCCATACACTGTGCGAATTTCCTCAGGAAATCGGAGCGGATTATAGGAAGATTTCCCAACCACCTCCTTCAAACAGAGCCGGCAGCCAATGAGCTCTGTTCTGTCAGAATACAAAGGAGACAGCGAGGACTCCTCCATCAACGCGCTCATAGCATTGGAGGAATCTGCTCCGCTAAATCTACACACTTAATAATCAGCACATGACGATTATGTAGTGTACCAACCCTCTGTCACAAATTCCCAAATGGTTGCTATGGGCTCACAAAAAAAAAACTTTCAAGCTAAAGACAAGATTTTGATATGGATGTGTTGCTGCAGTAGTCGTATACTGTTGGGATATACTGCTGCTTACAGGAGGACTGGACATTGGCAAACAATTGGCAGGCCAGCTAGGTATAATCTGTCTTTATTCCCAGGATGCCTCAACATGTAGTAAGCCGTACCAGAGCATGATCATAAACACCGGGGTGGAAATTGTGTCCCTCAATGGACTCCAAAAAAGGATTCTACGGTGAGTTAAAAAAAAAAAAATCTTTAATTACTTAACCATCAAGGGACACAGAAAGTCATATACTGTCGGGATGTCCAAAAGCAGTCCAATTGAGGGGTTGGGCAATAGCAAACTGCGAGCATGCCCAATGTGACAAACACTGGTGACAGTGGGCTCAAGCACTGCCTAAAAGGCCAACACCCACAGCTGGCACAGGATGAGGCTGACCCCCCCTTCCCCAACTGGTAGGAAGAGGATTGCACCAGGTAGTAATAGCACAAGAACGAGACAAGAATACTCACACTAGTGGGGAAGACACAGCATGAGGGAAACCCCTAAACATAGACAATAACAAGGGACTGGTCACTCTGGTCCAACAGGGAGATAGAACATCACCAGCAATTTCCCAACACGGAAGGGCTCACAGCCAAAGTGTGATTAACAACAAGAAGGAATATATCTTCAAGCACTGGGATTTGGCAGAGAACCTGAACAATGTCCTAATAAAGGAAGCTCAAAGTCTTCCTAGGCTAGAAAATGCTCTAAGCCACAGCTCCCCTGACCCAGAAGTCCAAGAGAGGAGGAGGTACATGACTGCAAGAACTTGCAGGCCAGGCATTCACCTCACCCAAGTAAGGGCTATCTAGGAAGAATCCTATGAATGACCGATTCAAAGGCAAATCCAAGGTGTGATCTGTGCTCCCTGTGAACTAAGTTTGATTCCCAGAAATAAGCACGACCAATAACATGTACAATAGATCTTCCTGTACAAGGATTAGAAAAAGGAGCAAAACGAGTCATTCCTGTTTTGTGCAAGTCAAGCCCTTCGCTCAAGGGCTTTTTTTTTTTTTTTAAAGATAGCATAGATTGCTGGGATGGAAAAATTAATTCAAATAGCACACAACAAAAAAAAAATCAGGATACCTTCACGTGGGCCTGTTGGCTACATTTTAGAACTGCTCCTGCATATACTTGTGTAATGGAAGAATACAACCTATAATTCGGTTATCAATTGTATGCTCTCTTGAAACTTGTAACCTGGCTTTCCAAAACCCCACACGGGAGACCAAATTAGGATTCCTAATTTTGTCTTCTCTCTTATTTCTATTCTCTGATCTCTGTGCCTTTCTGACCATTTTCTCACTATCATTTGCACTTTCTCTACTCTTCTGCTAGCAGCGCTTTTCCCCCAATTCACCCTTTTCCCACTTAATTGCTTGCCCCTCCGACCCTTTTATTTTTTTCTCTTCTATAACACATTCCCAAAAGGGAAGAAAAATAAACGTGAGAGTGAAGCTAGGGTCCATATACCAATTACAAGCCATCTTGATCGATAATGGGACAGAGTTACATGTTATGTCAGACAACTGTACAATATAAAAGCAATCAAGAATGATGAGAAGCAATTGAGAATCAGAGCCGGCTCCGATTCTCAATTGCTTCTCATCATTTTTGATTGCTTTTATATTGTACTGCTATAATATGCTATTCCTCACCTTACTGTGATGCTTATTTTGTCTATGTTATCCCACATGGCTTATTATTCTCTCTCTATGTTCAATAAACTTTTCTTATGGAAAAGACTCAGGAGCCTAAATCAGAGTCAGAGATGACGACTGCGACTTGTGGCGCTCCATGTAGCTCTTTGCAAACTGAGCAGTAGAAAAGTGCATGGAACACACGCAACACTGCACCCAGCAAATGGCATTAGGTCTCTGTCCCTGAACATTAACCCCTTTTGCACTAAAACCAGTGGAAAGCAGGTACCAGAAGTACTTATAAACGGCCTAAGTTCTGGTGCTGAGACAGATTGGCCTACCCACAGAGTGAGTCTTCAGAGAGAGGCCAAGCACAGAAGAAGTGATAATGGCTGTGGACCTGGAAAGCATTTATTGAAAGCTTACTTGTTACCAGAACAAGGACTGGAAAGTGCCTGATGCAGAACCCAGTGCCCAAAGGTCACTTCCAGGTTAGCCCTGCATGTCCACTCAGAGATGTCTGGGTGCGGCACTCCAAAACTAGGCTGGGTAAAGGCCCATTGAGATATCTGCCATTGTAAAGAGCAGCTCAAACAGGGATGTAGCAAAGAATCTTGATTGAAGAAAAAAATTCAAGAGAGAGAGAGAAAAAAAAAAAAAAAGCTAATAAAAATGGTTAGACTTTCCCCGGTAGAGCTAAGGAACAGCTGTCCATTCTCCTATGACACTAGAAAAAAGCTGAGGTATGCTGAGAATAGGACGGGTTATCCTGGGCTAGCCTGCAGATTTATTTATTTTTTTCAGTTTCCAGTCCTAAGCAGCATTACAACCTGACAGTATATGCCTTTCTGTATTCCTCAATAGACGACAAAGAGAAAAAAAATCAAATTACCAAAAATGAAAGGCATACTGGACAGAATAACACACATTGTGTTATCCTTGAATGTATTGCTATTCTATTATATTCACACAAAAACAAATGTATTTCAAAGCCAACGTTTAGGGACTTACCAAGAAATTGAGGGTTTCGGTCAATCACCTCACTCATCTCCCCTACCAGCTCTATGCTAGTGTAGCGCACAGCAATGTGAACAGACTCAGGAAGTCTGACTACTGCCTCTAGGACTTCTAGTAAAGTTGGATTATTCACTCTGCAAAAAAGAAAATAAAGAGGATGGAGAGATTAACAAATATTCAGGCGCATATGCAAACCCGGATAGGTATTGATATATGCTGAAATATTAATATTATTGTTCAGATTAAGTCAAAATAGGTGTGTAGACACAGGAAAGGGGAAGGTTTATTAAAGGAGAACTATGGGGTCAGTGTTTTTCCCCATAGTTCTCCTTGGGGTAACGGGAGGACACAAACTAGCGCCCTCCCGTTACCCTAAGCTCAGTATACCGCGAGCCACAGCTCGCGGTATACTGAGACGCCGCACCTGGAGCGGATCCCGACTTAGATGACGGGATCCGCCCAGCTGCGTGAGTGACAGCTGGCTCTGCCTATCTAGAGGCAGAGCCAGCTGTACCCGCCCCCTCCCCCGTCCGTTCCGCCAGTCAGCGCTGGCAGATCGGAGCGGGGAGAGGGGAATCCAGCCCCTCCCCCTGTCACGGCAGAGAGCCATGACAGGATCGAGAGGTGAGGGAACCCGGTATGTGTTCCCTCACCTCCCGATCTACTGAGCCGACCTGTGACAGTCTCATTGTCACAGGTCGGCTTAGAACTATGAGGCGAGTGGAAATCACTCATGTCATAGTTCTCCTTTAATTCATTAGAAGTTAGAGTGGATCTGCTGGATTAAACACACTATGTATAAAACTTGAAGATTTTATGGACCGGAATATTTCCCTGTACGTTGTGTACAATATTTTCCATGCAATTGTACTTTTTTTGTTTGTTTTTTTTACAAAACCTTAATAAAATAATTGAAACAGAAATTAAAGTGGATCTAGCACCGGATACACTTGCACATTAGGGCACATTTAAACTTACAGGTGTGCTCTTCTCCAGTGCTGTTGGAGTGCTCTTTGGTCCTCAGCACTGTCCCTTACCCCATCTCTTTCAGGTTCTCAGAAGTCTTCTTAGGCCATTGGGTGGCCAATGTTGATGCATGTGCACAGGAGTTACATACTCCCAAGCGCCAGGACCCTTCATCGCATCTTAGGGATGGCGTGAATGGGTTGAGTGTGTACATCGCACAGCGCTTGCTTATTTCTAAAGGAGAACTATGAGGTGAGTGCTTTTCACTCACCTCATAGTTCTAGCCGACCTATGAGACTGTCACAGGTCGGCTCAGTAGATCGGGAGGTTAGCTAACACATAGCGGCGTTCGCTTACCTCTCGATCCCGTCACGGCTCTCTGCCGTGACTGGGGAGGGGGTGGATTCCCCCCTCCCCGCCAGCGCTGACTGGCGGAACGGATGGGGGAGGGGGCGGGTACAGCTGGCTCTGCCTCTAGATAGGCAGATCCAGCTGTCAGTCACGCAGCTGGGCGGTATTCCGGCACAATTGTCGGGATCCGCTTCAGCTGCGGCGTCTCAGTATACCGCGAGCTACAGCTCGCGGTATACTGAGCCTAGGGTGACGGGAGGGCGCTAAGGGGAAAACTATGGAGAAAAGCCTTAACCCCATAGATCAGGTTAGTTCTGATAAACCCATTCTAACCCGATCGCATCGTAAACCAAGGAGTGTACTTGTGTACCGTACTGCCGTGGTCAGCAGCCGACAGTACACAATGGGGATCAATAGCCAGACTGGTATTGGCTATTTCAAATTGCAATAGTTAATAGCAGGCTGGCTAGTGAAACCCCGCCCACTAAGAGGAGTAGACCTAAGAGAGAAAGCTCTCTCTCAAGTACGCTCTTCTGTTTAGTGTGCTGGTGCGATAGCCAGCCTGCTATTGCTCTCGGTTGTTTACATTCACCTTCCGGCTGCGGAAGCGAGCTAGCTAGTGAATGGGGAAGCAGAGTATCTCGGGGATGGTTGCTTGAGTTGCAATTAACTCTCAAGCAACCAGAAACTAGTTATCTGGCAGCTACCTATCCGTGGGTACAGTACAGTAAACTCCATCATAAATGCGAAAGAAAGTAACTCGTTCTATCGCAACCCGAGGAGTATCTGTAAAGTTAAAATCATTGTCAGGTTTGCTTTCTGGCTGTCTCTCACACGATATTTACCTCTACTTCCTGTCTTGTACATACAACAGGAAGTAAAAGCACTCCAAAGTAAGGGAAATACATTCTAGGACAGCTGTCCTAAGAACAATCTATGCCAACGGATTCACACAAAAAAAAAAAACCCCACAACAGAAGTTCCTAACTTTTCGCCCTCGATGCCAAGTAAAAAAAAAAAGTTTGGGCTTTAGATACAAGATAGATATTTATACTATATTTGGATACAAAAAAAGTGCATTAACATTCAAATTTATTTCAAAGACCCTCCTCAAATTCATGCCTTTTATGAAATGCAGGCAAGCAGCATGTAAAATGAATCAACAGCAAAACACATGTGCGTGTCAATGGGTGTGACACAGGAGCACACAAAGTTATTCCATTTGAAAACATGGAAGTATAAACCTAGCCCAAAGGGAATCTGTCTTGGTGCATATTTAGAATCCACTATTACAAAAGTAGACATAGCAGATTTGACTTATAACAGCTCAAAACTACATGGGTACATGTCTAAAAGCCCATAGCAAACAATCCAAGAAAAGACAAACAGGCGATCAAACTGAAAGAAAAAATAAAAGTAATGCTTACGGATCTATACTTTTAGCTATTGAAGCCATTATAAACAGCACCGCCTCTGTGACTTCCCAGGGTGGATTCCCATCTTTCAGAGTAGAATACAACTGCATGGAAAGGATAAGACATATAAATGAAAATAAGCATCATTAGAACAATTAAGATAATCACTGAACATTCTTGATGTAAGATAATTGTTATAGACCTTCTTTCTTCTTGGACAATTTAATTAACACCGTCATTCCAAGCTGCGGTGGAAAGGGAGGGCCTAAGGAGGGTAATTCAATGTAGTCGGTAGAGTTTACCTAAGGAATAGAATGCTGCTGACTTAGCAAAATAAATGCTGACTCTGCAAAGTGAATGTAAGTAATTAGGGTAAACCTGAGGGTGCTTTGAATACCAAAAAATAAAAATATCAAATAAAAATATAAAAAAAAAGAATAAAAAAATAAAATAAAAAGAACAAAAAACAGAAATGTTGCCATCATATGATCGGGTATCAAAAGTGAACAAAGGTTCATTTTAGTGACCAACATTCACTCTGCAACGTGAACACACAAATGTAATCAAACAGCATTTAATGCTTTTGTAAATCCATCCCAACAGGTCAGTTTGAACAGGCAGCCCTACTCATTGCAAGGAATATAAAAGGCAGAGATATAATTATGGTTAAATTACATACCTGAGAGAAACATTCTATGGAGCCCACCAGAAAGATCAGATCCTTTACCAGGTCTGAAACTCGCACACGGAACTCTCCAAAGTCATCTGTTTCTTCAGGAACCCCTTCCTGTGGAAAATTAGTTTATTATACATCAGCACCCAAAAGAATCATCTGTCAAACATTGTTAAACAAGAAAATGGCAAATTAAAATTCTAAGTAGATACAAAAGACACAAATATGCTGCTTCCTTTTCACTGTCCAGTCACAGACTGGGGCAGGTAGTGGGCTTTGTGGGCTGAAGGTCGCTGGCCATCATGGCAGAAAAAAAAGTACTATGGTGGAAATCTCTGGAAAGCTGGCTTTGTTATTGTATCCTTTAATGGGCTATTCATTTCATCTTGTTATTTTTGGTTAGAGTTCTGCTTCAAATAAAACAAAGAATAGCTCTTCAAGCAGACCTTCAGTTTCAGTTCTTAAGTTCAAGGGAAAAGGAGTACATCATGCTACGAGTACTTAGCTGCATGCCCCTCACCCCATGGGTGCAAGTACTGGTGTAATCATTTCAACACAATGCATGCCATCATATATAGCAGGATTTCAACACTACGCATGTTATCATATATGGACATAAATATAGTATAGACCCATAGATTCCTGAAGTAAAAATGGAATAAATATATGCCTATATATACACACGATATGTGTACCGTTTTAGTGCAGGAATATCTGGGTCTATATTTAGGATTATATATGACATGCGTTGTGTTGGGATCCTGCTTGTTTTACCTATGTCACTGCCAAGTGTGATGCATCTTTAAGAGATTTAACCCCCCTCAGCTTTACATCAAGGAATGATGGGTTGTCTTAACTTATTTTTTGTTTTAGCATTGAAGGGCTTAACTCACCAGGTATATGTGAACACATGTAGGAGGGTTTTGTCAATAAGCGTTCCCTTGTTTTTGTAGTTATTGCCTTTGTTTTTGCGATTCTATTGCTACGAATAAGGTCCCTTGGTGGACAGAAACACGTTTAGCAATTTTTGTAGCTGCTTTTGTGCCTTTACAATAAAGACACGCCATTAAGCCAGCTCGTTTCCCTTTATTTTGCTGATGGGGTCCGGCAGGGACTTAGACTGAGCACCAGGGTTCCCATGGAATATTGGGTCAGAGAAGGTAAAGCAGTGCTGGTGTGTTGCACTGTTTGGCCAACACTTCGTACAAAATTACAAATGTAAAAATGGATCTGCTGAACCATCATTTGGCCATCATTCAGCGTCAGCAATGCCTGAAATAGACAGTCTGCGGGGTCATTCTACCCTGATTTTTGCAGACCCATGAAACAACCTAATTTCTAAAGGTGCATACTACTAACAAACAATGAAGAGCTCTATAATGAATTCCAACCAAAAGCATATAAAGAACAACATAGCATGACAACTTACATGGTCAGGATCGAGTTGACAGTGCCTAGCTAAGGCGTGGAGAAGCCTTTGTATGTAAGGTTTAAAGATACTATTCAGCACTTGGTCATTTATTTTATAAAGATGTTCTCCCAGTCTGTACCAAAAATTAAAGGAGATTTCAACTACCTGTTGAAAAAGCAGATTAAAAACGGTGAGTGCATGAAGGTAGGTACAGCAAAGAGATTTAATATGCACAACTAGCTGAATACAAAATATACAGTATATAAGAACAACAATTCGGGTCAATAAATTGCCGTAAAAATGAAAGAAAAATCTACTTTTATTGTGAATGTTACAAGTCACTGGAAAGAAGCTGTACTTTGCAACTATAAGAAACCTTCTAGAACGTTTAGAATTATTATTATTAGAAACCGTTTCAATTAAACTGGCACATGGCTTTTAAACCTCCAACCAGCCACATTTTCAAAACCTGTGTTCCTCTTATACTAGTGAACATGCAATACCAGTTCAGCTCATTAGCACAGCAACATGATGTCATGTACGTTCAGGAGGATTCCTAGAATAACTCCCCAACTACCAAAAGAGGACTCCTCCTCACCCATGCAGTTCCAGGTTTCATGAAACAGAGATCTACAAGAACCAAATTGCACCTGTTTCGTTACTTGCCTGGGGAAATCTGGTAGCACCGACAACCTTAAAATATGGATTCCACTCCATTTTTTTTTTTTGCTATACTTCAGGACACCAAGCAGCAGGATAACTGGAAAGCTCCAAGAGGTTGGAACCTCTACAAGTGGCTCAAGTATGAACAGTTGTTCTAAGCTATTCTTGGCAGGAACTTATAGGTTCAATTTTTTCTTTCAGTTTGATCGCCTGTTTCTGTCTTTTATTGGATTGTTTGCTATGGGCTTTTAGACATGTACTCATGTAGTTTTGAGACGTTATAAGTAAAATCTGCTATGTCTACTTTTGTAATAGTGGATTCTAAATATGCACCAAGACAGATTCCCTTTGGGCTAGGTTTATACTTCCATGTTTTCAAATGGAATAACTTTGTGTGCTTCTGTGTCACACCCATTGACACACCCAATTAATGTCATGATGCTACTGTCTGTAGGAGAACAAACATTTAAGGTAAGCAGGGCTTAAAGGAGAACTGTGAGGTGAGTGAAAATCACTCATCCTCATAGTTCGAGCTGACGTGCGACAATGAGACTGTCACAGGTCGGCTCAGTAGATCGGGAAGTGAGCGAACACATCCCGTTGCTCACTTCTCGATCCTCTCCCTGCAGAGAGTGGTGACTGTCAGGTGCCACTCCCCACAGGGATCTCCCCCCCCCCCCTCATTCACACAGCTGGGTGGTTCTCGAAAGCATTGTCGGGATCTGTCCCAGCTGCGATGGTCTCAGTATACCGCGAGCTGTAGCTCACGATATACTGAGCTTTGGGTCACGGGAGGACGCTAGTATATGTCCTCCTGTGACCCCTAAAGAGAACTATGGGATAAAAAGGTTACCCCATAGTTCTCTTTTAATGAAAAGGACAACAGTTGGAAACACCACAACTTCAGCACATTCACAAAATGTTGCTATTTCATATATTGTAGTACAGGGCTCAAAATTTCCACTCGGGAGAAGCGGCCCGGCCGTCGGAGTCTGCGGTGCCGCTCCAAGAAGACATGGGGGCACAGGACGACATGGGGGCACAGGACGACGTGGGGGCAGAGCACGAGAT